TTTCTCTTTCTGGCTCTTCTTACCTCGTCAATGTGATTTGAGAGTATACATATTGGAATTTGTAACGTCAAAAGTTTGATTGTCTCGATCTTTGGTGATGAAAAATATCATTTCCATAGTGGAAAATGCGTATTGATCGCTAATCGATGGATTTATATTGTTTGGAACAAAATTAATCTACAGTCAAATTATCAAGTATGGATCGATGGACAACATGTTTCAAAATTTAGTCAATATCATTTATCTTTCGACAAGTTGAACCTAAGCCTTTTCGCGAAATAAATTTTTATTATTTTACAAGTCTAACAAGAATTTATTAGAAACATCTAGGCAAGTTCGTATAGCTGATCTTAATGCTTTTACACAATGTTTGACACCTACGGAAATTCGAGCTATTCGTCAACAGCAACAAAATACACAGCATGAAAGTTGACTGTTGTTGAAAATTCAATTTTTTCTCATAAATTAATTTTCTTGTTATTTGTGTTTTTGATACTTATTTGTTATTTTCTCTAATCTGATTGCTCAAAAATACAAGAATAGTTGATAAAAACTGATTACCTTTGAACACAAATGATAAGAAATCATGAGAAAAATATAGTTATTCGAAGAAATTTAAAAGATAACTTTGCCCAATATGAAGAATTATATATATAATGAAAGTTCAACATTATCAAAACTCATAGGAAAGACGGTTCAATTATCATATTACTCGTATAAATATTATCAAAATTTTAAGTCAGTAATATTCATTTTGCTAGTGCCAGACTCGTTATTTATCAATAGTATTGAACATATTCAGATTTCTATATTGAGCTTTTCTCATTCATAGAAAAGCATGTGTATCGACAAAGGCATTACAACTAGATTCATCACTCTCTTCTTCAGGTCTGAAAAAGATAAATATCTCCAAACAGAAAATGATCAAAGTTGTTTGCCTTTTCTTTGATCAGATATAAAATTTTAAAGCTTTCTGCAATTTTCATAAACCACGATTATTTTTAGATTTTTATTCATTGTAAATACAAAATGTTGCCATCTTTTCTGTCTCTTTGATATTTCTTTAGCATTTAATACGTCGAAAAAAAAATCTCATTCCAAATACATTATTATTTTCCGTAATACAAATCAAAAAATGGCTCAAGTTGATGAGACAGAGAGAGGCACAAAAGAGAAATGACAAGTTTATTTTTCTTCACCATCTCATTATTATCTATGTTTTGATTGGTTTTTATCAAAAACATCAATGTCAGTTTTGAATAAATTTAAACGAAAAGTGTAAGGTGTTTTTTTTAATCATTTTCTTTTCTTGTCAGTACTTTGAAAGGATCAATCTCGCCGCAATTTATATATATATACAGAGTAACATAATCATATTTATCCAAGTGAGCATTGCTGCCATCTCAAATAACATAGAGTCAATAAATTTTCTACCAAATAAAAGCTGGTTGGATATTAGATTTCGGTGTAGAAGTGATAAGTCATTGGATCATTATGATATTTAGGATAATAGAATATTTCGCAATTTTAAGAAAAATAATCATCAGCTAGCTGGAGTTCTTTTTGGATTTTTAAATAAGCCTCTATGCATTTTCATACAAATCCTAAGCAATTCTTCAATACAAATATGCAAATTCTAAGACTTTCGTATTTTTATCGTAAAGTATCTATGAAAAGATCATAATAATTCTATAGCTTATCATTTATATTTAGAAATCTCTTTTCCGACGAACTTTTATTTTGTATACAATTTTTGTTTCTATATTCAATTAGTGTTCGTGACATTTTTTCGCATGTAACATAATCTTTAATCATTTTTATGTATAAAATCGTTTTGTTTTGTTTTTGTTGTCAAAATGAATACAAAGTACGTTAAAAATAATCGACATTTTTGTTACCGTCATATATTAATAATTTGTTTCAGACAACAACAGAAATTATCAAAACAATGCAGATTCAAACTAAGATATGATTTCTTATCGAACGTGACAAATTTTTTATGCCATTGTTTTTCTTTCTTCTATGAAAAGTTAGGATTGGTACTTCTATTATACTTGATTTACGTTCTTAATACCATATTTACTTCTTTCATGAAACACAAATCCAATAAAGTCAATTTCAATCTGTTGACAAACAGCAATTAAAATGACAAATATTTGCTGTACTTCTATACAGTTTTCCGTTGAATGACGCTCATCTCAGAAAAATATATACGGTGATTTTGTAGCTTTTAAGGAGATGAATAAAATGAACTTATTCGGTGTAGAACTAGTTAAAATGGCGCACAAATAATAATATAAATACTTGAATTTGATCAAAATTACTCATCATAACTAATTAGTGCCCGTCGTGACTCATGGTTATCCCGAGCACAACCGTGATTGTGACTGGAATTTTATTACGAGTTCTAAAATTGTCGCATATCATATGTCTGTCAACTGCATTAATCTTTTCAGAATATAAAGAATCTTATATTCTTAATTCATTGTGATAATTCATTCATGTTTTCTGAGTAAAAATAACTATATACTAATGTTACAGGAATAGCTAGAATTGAGGAAAATTTAAAATTTTCTTTGAACAAACTAAAACTGAAAGGCTTAAAATTTTTCTGAATTCTAATTTCTTCCGCGACACAGCAATTACAGTACATAATAAAATAATAGATTTTATTACAAATATTTGGTTAATAACTTCATAATTTTTATATGTTTTTGCCTCTATCTGACTTTTGTAACAGGAAACATCATTTAAGAAAAGAAATCACAACAAACTAGAAAGAATGATTGTGACCAAAAGACTGGACCATACAGAACACTAATTCTAGCTCTCTTTGTATGTATCTCTGATCAGGGATCTGATAAAGCATTGATCATTATCTTCAAAAGATACACTATGGAGTGTTGTAAAAATCAGAATGATCAATACTCAGTACCTGTGATTTATTTTTGTTGCTAATCATTAACTTGGTTTGTAACTTACACATTTCATCCTCAAGTCACTGTAGAGAAGGTTGAAGCAGAAACCGAATTCTTATCAAATCATTTATAGTCTAGCAATACATTCTATATTTACGTATAGCTTAATATAAATTTAGACTGTATAAACGATTTAATCGCAAGTATATACATTTGACATGCTATTTATTATTCATTGTATAACAATAGATTGCTTTTTTTTACAGATGATTTAATATATTGCGCAAATTATCTATTATTTCATATAAAAATGCGATGATATTGTATTTGTTGCTTTATTCTATCAATAGACTAAATATGACTGCTATTCCATTTCTCTGAAAGTAACTATTTTACTTTAGACAAGTATAAATGATTGTCCTCAAGAAATGAAAAAAAAAAGACTTTGTTTTTTTTAGAACTTATCAAGTTTGGACTTTAGGGTAACATGAGAGAGAGAGAGTATTACATTTCTTTTCTTGCGATAGGTGCGACTGTTTACGATGATTCAATACTTAATACTTATCAATAACACATATTTATAAATGCGCGTTTAAATGCATATATAGGATTACTTTTGAGTTAAGTTTTTTTAACAACTTTGTAATTTCTGAGAATTTTCATTATGGATTCGACGCTACGAATTCTTAAAGGCATCAGCGTGTTAATAACAGTGTACTGTGTGACTTATCAAGGTAATTGTCTTGTACTGATCTCAAATATTAGAGTTGTTGACTGATAATTAAACAAAAAATTTTATTGTTTTGTTTATCAATGCAAAAATTTGTCGTATTCTACTTGGAAAAGTTGTTAGTACAATCTCAACAGGATCAAAATATGAAAATGCACTTGATCTGTATATAGATTGTAAATCAAAGGATTCTGTAACATATGCTTCAGTTTGAGACTTTCAACAAACTGATATGCCCGGGACGAAAAATGTTATTCGTAAATGTGTTACAGTGAGTTTGGAAATTGGACTTTCAAATTCAATCTTTCTTCATAATAATCCCGCAGACAGTTTTAGTTCCGTGACTAAGTCTGTCACAGGTTGCAATGAATGAGAGTGTTGCTAAAGTGTTTGTTACGATATGTGGAGGATATACATGTCAAACTTGAAAGCTGAATTCAATTCAACTTTCAAATACACAAATCTCTCTCGATTTAGGAGCCACAGAAGCATCAAAATTTAAAACTAGACGTGTGCAGAATAGGATGAGATAACCGTAAACATTTCTACTTGAAAATTGACAGTTGAAGAATACTTATTCAATTGAATTCAACTTTCGAGTTTGGCACTACTGTAAATGTTATACTTATATGTTTAACTCAAAAAAAAAATGTCTACTTCTTAGAATAATCGATGATTTGGAGAAGGAAAGTGTTAAAGAGCTTTCAATATAATAATATTTGATTTTCATTGTTTTAGTCACAATGGTCACTGCTACTTCTATTTCTACCACAACGAAAACTACAATCTTGACAACAACCTCAGAAAATGGTACCGATAAGGATATATGTCATGTTTATGGTGATCCACATGTGATTCGTTTCTCACAACAACCAAAAGTATTTCAAGATCAATATTGATGTAAAATATCAGGTGTACATCGTATTCTTAAAAATGATTATGTTGAAATAGTAGTTTTAATTCCTAGACGAACTTGGTTGATAGATGAAGTAAGTTTGACTATTGAAAAAATGCTTTATTTTTAAATATTATTATTATTTTTAGTTTATGATAATGTTTTTCAACGATAATGAAACAGTTTTTTGTACAATTAATAATAATGAACAACATTGTGACAACTCAGGTAATGATAGTAATTGAAGTCTATCCTTATACTTATCAATTCATTGCAAATAGAAATCAAAATAACACGTCCAAGTCTACTACACGTTAATATTTTATATGTAACTCCTCAAATACACATTTCGATTGTGTCACATCAATATGAAGTAACTAAGTTGTGAATTAACAATTAATTGCTTTATTTTTGATATTCTATTTGACAGCTACAATGGTACGATATAAGTGTGCGCATGCCTCATGAACTCATTCGTCGATCAACTGGTCTTTGTATTATGCCATCAATTGAAATCTGTGCAATTGAAAATAGTACTGAACACAAAGAAAATAACATTAATCCGTTGTCACAAGCAATATGTATGGAATACTTAACAGCAAGCATTCAAGTATCTAATGAGTTAGATCTTTCTAATGATCTAGACAGATATAATAATGCATTGATTGCATGTATTCATGATTATGAAACAACAAACAATAGAAATGTAAGAAAAATCTATAAGCTTTTCTTCTATTTCTATCATTTAGATTAGTTTGGTGCAAGTATAGTGAATATGATTATCAAAGATGGTATTCATAGACAACAACTTGACGATTTCGAATTTGATTTAAAAACAAATAGAAGCATGAGCATAATTAATAATGCTGTGATTAATGCAAGTATCCAAACAAACATTCTTCTTGCCATGACAACACAAACATCAGTAAAAGATACAATAAGCACAATAACATTGACAAATTCCAGAATTACTACAATGCGAACAACAACATCGGACTGTTCGATAACTGTTATATCAATTCGTATTGTTCTGAGTTTTTTCTTATTTTCATCTTTCATCAAACTTTTTTATTTATTTATTTAAAAACAATTTAGTTTTTAACTTTAACATGATTGAACGATTAAATCGTTCAAATATCAATTGTTTTGATAATTATTAGTTGTATATATACAAATACTGAGAATATTCTATTTTTCTTGAAAAATAATCTTCATTTATAAGCAAAAAATAGAATGGTCTCACTTAGAAATACGCATTTACAACTTTGGCAGTTTTGATGTTGATAGTACGAGTTATGTATATTGCATTGTTATCAACAGTTTAGAATATGTATTTGTCGTGCATTGTGAATACATTATGTCTTAAAATTTGTACTGAAAACATCATTTTTCTCAGATTTCAAGAGCTATTGGACTGTTATTACTTTTGTGTCAGGTAATAAACTGAAATGAGATCATTTTTCAATAAATTTTAAAAATCAGTCAGGGAACAAAACTTTTTCGAATGAGTATTTAGTATTTTAGAGCATGCCACTGTCATTGGCAAATAATAATGTACAGTAAAACTTCACTATGTGAGCATCTCCTATAGTGCTCAACAGTCTATAGCCCACCCAAGCAAAGTTTGATAGAAATGAGCCTTTCTAATTTGAGTTCTTCTTAGCAATAAAAGCTTCTGTAATGTGATCAACGCATGTCCAATCACTAACACACAACACGATAAAAAGAATGATGTTATGTGTATTATGTTATGATAAACGGTCATCGAACACATACGAAAAGAATAGATTAACTGTCCATCTTTAAAAGAAAAAACAGAATATCTCGTACAGTCGAATATCGATTACAGCAGTGTAGATGTTGGTGTGTATATTCTATATGAGAAGAATATTTCCGTTAACATCATGTTTTATATTAGTAGATTCGGCACGGACAAAAACATATCTATGTAAAAATTCATTCTATCTCTTTATCGATCGTTATTTTTGTCTACTTCGATTATTCTTCTATTTGTCTGTTCTTTCTGCAATCTATTGACTTTCTTTTTTCTTTCGACACAATGCATGTTATCTAGAAGGATTACGAAAAGAAAAGTCAATATTATTTATCTAGTATGGATTATCGCTAATCACTTTAAATTCTGTTCGTTATTAGTAGGAACGAGAGAAAAGAAGAATCATGTGGTCGACTGTGATTTTTTGGTTAAGTTGTATTTCGTTGGTGATTAGTGTCGATGTGAATATTTACGGTAGTACAACTGATGGATGGGAATTCGTACGGGATTTGTTCCGAGAGAATTTCGTACAAGGGCGAGATACCGGTGGCTCAATTGCGATTTATCATCAGGGTCGGTTGGTAGTGGATTTGGCTGGCGGATGGTTCGATGCATCAAACACAAGAGTCTATGATAACGAGACACTTCAATTGGTATTCTCAACGTCAAAAGGTTTAGTTGCTATTGCTGCGGCACTTTGCGTTCAACGAGGTCTTTTGAACTATTCAGCACTTGTAACGCGCTACTGGCCAGAATATGGGCAGAAAGGCAAAGAGAATACGACGGTCGCCGATATTCTGTCACATCGTGCTGGTGTGCCTGATGTTTCGATCTCTTCATTCGACCAATATCGTAATTGGACAACAATGATTGATTTACTCGAGCAGGAAAGACCTGTTTGGATTCCAGGACATGCTCAAGGTTATCATGCACTGACCTATGGATGGTTAGTTGGCGAAATCGTACGACGAGTTGATCCACAGAAGCGAACAATCGGAGAATTTATTCGAGATGAAATCGCCGATCGAATACAAACTGAATTCTACATTGGTCTTCCGCAAGAGTTCGAACAACGAGTATCACCGCTAATTTTCACTGATGTCGAAGGAATCTTGAATGGATCCATGTTGACATTGTATAATTTCTACAATGAAGTAGAAACACATCAAGCAGAAATTCCGGTCGCAAATGGTATCACTAATGCACGATCGCTAGCTTGCATTTTTGCCTCGCTCATTGGCAATATCGATGATCGAAAAGAGAGTCGACTATTGCAAGCGGAAATCTTGCAACACGCCACAACATCGAATACATTGCCGAACGAAATCGATCTCATCTTGCAAATACCCTTTCCTTTTGGTATGGGTTTTATGCTTTACGAACACGATTTTCCGATGTTCGGACCGAAATCATTTGGTCATAGTGGTAAGATCGATTTGTAAATAATTCAGACTCAATAAATTGATACTTTCTAGGAGCAGGTGGTAGTATTGCATTTGCTGCCCCAGCCAAGAATCTTTCGTTTGCTTACGTCATGAATCGATTCAATTTAGAGCCTCTCACTATTAGCAATGCTCGAATTGGCACTATCCTAAACCGAATCGGAACAATGCTGGACGAAAACTATTCGAACTGAATCTTTCCTCAAGAAGGAATTAAATCCATACATATCAAACGCTTTTGTTTTGTCTATCGACTTCATTAATAAATTCTTCTTCTGTTCGAATAGGCAAGCTAAACGATTCGGTCTTTTTATTCGTTGGCACTTGATCGAAGAACGAAAAAAAAGTTGGCTTTTAGATACACAAAAGAGAAAAATTCACATTACTGTTGTACAATGTCTGAATCATTCCTATGTGTGACAACAAGGCTATCTATCGTCCAGGCAACACTTTATCATGTGAAGAATTTACCGAGTGAATGTCTCCGCTTGTTCGGTTGAGGTATTTGATTCTCATCCGTGTACATCATCGAGATAACTTGAGTATTTTTGTTGTTTGAAAGAGCATGCCGAAGCGTTTCTTTCAGTATTCGTGATGATTCATCACTTGGCGGTATTTTGAATCTTCTGACATCGCTCTTTGATCAGGATAAAAAAAAAGCAAAAGAGACGATTATGCTATCCTAGTGGTAGCAGATCCATTTCTATCGGGTTGATTTCGTTTTCTTTATAAATCGGGGTACGACATCGATAGCACATCTCGTCTCGAACATGACCATAGACGAATCATGAGAACTCACCTATTCAGTAGAATAACACGAAAGGTTTTGTTTCAATGACATTCTTTACACTAAACTTATGTATTGCAGGATGCTTTTATTAGCTGATTGAAAAAGTCTTTTTGGTGTGTTTCGAAGAAAATAAAAGGACACTTTTCAGTCGTCGAGGATGAACGAAAAGAAGGTATGTGCGACTTTCCGAGTATCTAAACGATTTGTTCCCCAGGATGCAACAAAGGACTTGTCGCGTTTAATCAATATATGCAATGAATGTGATGAACCTATATGAGAAAAGTCAGAGAGTGCACATCGCATCCTAGTCGATGTACTTGTTTACTTGCATGAATTTTACCTAGTAGTTGAGCAAGTAAATCGTAAAATTTGTCCACAGACATACAACAACTTATCAATACTGCGTATTCAATAAGCAAGAAATAACTTCAAATTCGGTAACAATGATTTTGTCTTTTGACACATAAGCATAAATTGTTGAGTAATGAAAGACAGTTTTATCTTAGTTTAACAAATTTCAACCAGGTACATTGTTTCGCACCATAGTGCTGCAAGGATTGACCTCAGAACTATTTTTGATGATATTCTTTTACGTTGTTGTCCATCCAGTGCATTATGAAGTCTTTAAATTAAAAAAACATATATTTTTATCACGTACCTTAAATAGCATTCACCTGTGTATTTTATCGATAATTATTATGATGCCTCTCGCGATGGAGAGATAAAATCTCTTTTAAGCATCTTCGTTCTTATCTAATACAACTCCATTTACGCTGTTCCTATTGTGTGAGATAACAAGACTATATATATATACGACTTTGTTAAATAGGCTACAACTATACATAATTGAGACATATTTATTTCTATTCCTGTTGACAAAACATCGAAAAATGAACACCTTTGTCATCATTACGTTTTGGCTTTTACTCTGCATCGGTAAGTACAAGTTAAACAATATACAAACTCTAAAATTATGTCACTTAAATATTTATTATAGATGTAATTAAATCTAGATCCATGATTCGTGAAACTACTGAGTCTATTGCCGATCAATGTTACTATTGTTCGATTTGTCCGCAACCCTTCCGACCAGATGGTGATTACGTCAGCACTACTTTTTCAGCTACTGGTTGGTGTGTTGTAAGTTCTGTTTTTCTGTCAAAACCATATGAAACATTTATGTTGGAATATTTCAATATATTAATAGACAAAGAGTACCACGAATGAAAGCGATAGTACCTATGAACTAGGCGTTGCTTATGAAGGTCTTTGCCAAGTTGTAGGATGCTCGTGGACAGAAGCCGATGGAGTTCTTGAATGGGTATGTTGCTGTGATCGACATTTATGCAACACTGGCATTCCAAGACCAATATCTACAACTACTGTGACTAGTGGTTGCTTAGCATTAAAATCCACGATCGTTGTGCTAATCGATGCGTTATCGATGCTTATTATAGTATACAAACATATTTGAAATTTTTCTCTTATTTGCTAAGAATTGTCATTACATTTTTATCAATATATCAGAAATGAATAATCGAATATGAATTATCTGCCATCTGATATTCGACGTCAGACTGACGTGATTCAAAATGAAAAGTTGAATAAAATTCAGTATGCTCATGGAATCCAATCAGATTTCACTCCTTAACCAGAACATGTAGTGAATTGAGCTATCATAGAGATCACTAATCATTCAACATGTTTCAAGCCGTATTTTTACACATTGTTAGCAATCTACCTACGAGATTTGTTTGACTGAAGATCAGTAGTATAATTTTTAACGATATAGGAGATTCTTTCAATCTTCAAGACCTGCATTGATAAACTCATGCATACTTATGTACAAATCCACGCGTCAGTTATGTTTCAAATGTTTAAATGCTCAAGCTCCGTTTTCAATCACAATCAAAACTCAATGTGGGTATGGGTATGTGAAGGCTAATATAAGACACACGTATACCGAAACCAGATAAGTTATCGCCAAACATGGTTGGCTTTATTAAGCACTAGCGGAGGTACCCGATGTTAGTCGAGATAATTTAGTAATATATACTTGACATATTAGAAAACAATATCGTTATGATCTCCTATCAATTTTTGGAA